AGACGTGCGGACGACATAATGTTAATAATGAAATATAAACTTGATAAATTTTCATTGCAGTATCATCTGACTAACTAACAAACAATATGATAGTATGTTGTTATACGTAAATCGATACCAAATGTCAAGATAAAGCAAACTGTATATTTGAAAAACTAACGATATGATAGCGTGAAAACTACTAACACTGAATATAACAATTATTATTATTATTATTATTAATTGGCATTAGAAACTCGAAAGTTCATTGCCGCAAATACGCAAATAAACCCATCAGTGTTCCCCGTCCCTGAGCTCAACTCCATTCATTCGCGGTCTTCGTAGCTCATTTCTTTAAGATCCCCAAATAATATTGTCCTCCCATTTATGTCTCGGTCTATCTAGTGGTCTTTTCCCGTTCGATCCACCCCTATGCACGTCACTTCACCTGCCCATCTTAATCGGCGTGATTTTACGACGTTAATGATGTCCGGTTTTGTTGTACGATCGGTGTACTTCTACGGTATGGGGTTTTCTCCATTACGCCCGTTTCCTCCTCATCGCGTTTTGCACCGAACATTTTACGAAACAACTTTATTTTCTAAACCCTAAATTTCTTTTTAGTCCCGTAACGTAAGTGACACCACGTTTCCCTACCATAAAGGACCTACCGGTAAGATGATTGTCCTGTATATCCTAATTTTCAAGCGCCTAAACAGCCTAGTCAAACTTCGTCTGATTTATGATCGATACCGAATATAACAATTAGTTAATTATTGATACTTACATTGCTAACCTGTACAGGTATAAACGGTCTAGGTGATTGATTTCCTTGAACAATAGAAGATGGCCAACGTGGTCTTGGGCATTGAATATAACTATGAGTTGGATATCCAAAAACTGGTGACATACCAGGTGAAATTGGCATTCCAATTGGTACAGGACTCATTGAATGGACTACACCAGGATATGAATGTGGTGACATTGGACGAGTATGATGGATAGGTGTTGGTGGTCTCCGAGAAGAGGAGGGCGAATATACCGAAGGTGGTTTGAACATGTTAGACGATGGTGTGGGTGTGTTTGGTCCACTTGGCGTATTATTTCTACCTGAGGAACTGCCTGGGGGAGGTCCATGACCTCCTCCTGGCGGTCTAGACGGGTGCTGTGACATTACGTTTAACTATTTCGAAATGTTTTGCACCTCCTCTTGATTTCTATCATCACTGAAAAATAATAACAATAATAAATTCCAATTCTACGAAGATAAAACGTTGAATTACTTAAATCATTTTTTTCTTTTTTTTTTATCAAATAAAATGATTTAACAATTGAATCAATTTTCTATTTAAATTCAATATTAAAATGATCTAAGGATTAATTGAATAATTGTGTATGACTATATATATATGTGTGTAGAATGATTTGTGTACTTATTATACGTTCTAATTGTAAAAGAAACCAATCGACCAAGCTCTCGGTCGCATAGTGACAGTGAGATGAGTAGATCTGGATGGCTCCAGGCCAAAAGTATCTTGAAATAGGTGCCTACATCATTATCGTCTACCTTTATGGATTCTAATATATATATATATATATATATTAATATGAAATCAGAATGTCATGTCATCAAATATATACGTATGATATAGATTAGATTAATTTAGATAATTTTCTATCGATAAAGCAAGGTCATTGTCATGAATTTATATTGCAATCAATTACTTAACAAAACCTGAATCAAAAATTTAATATTAATTATTTAACTTATTTTTCTATAATCTAAAAAAAAAAAAATAAATATTCTTGTTGACAAAGTGTACTCTGATTTCAAATCAAATGTATTTTACAATTAGATATGATTTAGATGAAAATTTCTGCACTTCAGATTTAAATTTAAAATAGAGTTCATTGATACCAAAAGGTTTGGCACCTGGAAGTTGAATGACATATGCGCGTAAAAAAAATGACTTCATTCACATTAAGTTAGATAATTATATAGTACTCATAATTATTATCATAATAATTAAGTTAGTACTCATTGAAAAAAAAAACATAAAAAACATTTGTAAAAAGGAACTTATTATCTTAAAAGTATAAAGTTACAAAAAACGAATCACATTATACATGTGTRTGTGTGTTATAACATTTATAAATAGATCCTATTTTTTTTTTGTACAACACGGAACAAATACATATTATCTTATATACGGTGTATAAAAATGAAAAGCCCTCTTAACTATCATTGAATTATTTAACAATATCTTGAAAAGTATTGAATAAGAGGAAAACCTTAAGGTTCCCTGTTGGATACCGAGTGTAGGCCGACTAAATATAGTGGCATTTCTATTTTTAAGTGCTGCGACGGTTATACACACGCGTGTCCGACAAACCACCACCAGGTATATTCACGATGAGTGCATCAGATATTTTAGAAAGTGACAGACACACATATTAGCACCCGTAATCGTCTGTCCTTCCTTCTCTTCCTTCCTTCCTTCCTTCCTTTCTTCCAGTCACATCTTTAGAGACACGTGTGTGCACGTGTGCAATTTTTTTACTCCCCTCTCTCTCCCTCTCTCTCTCTCTCTATCTCTCTGTATCTCTCATGCTGTCATTATTCTCGGTATCAGTATTAATTTCCACGGAATATATTACGTTTCTTCAAAAACGTTCTCCAGTTCTGAAGATAGTCAGTCAGTCGGTTCTGAGTACTACCCACCATGATTATGACCATGACCCATTAAACCAATGACGCAAATAAATATAATGGAATGGTTAGACCTTTTGCAAAATTTATATCACAATATTATTCCAATTAATAATCAAATTAATTATCCGACTCATTTATTATAATTCCTACAAAATACACCTTTGTATTTTTTGGTTCTACACTATATATAAAAAAAAAAAAAAAAAATAAAAATTTGAAAATAATTTCGCGAATTGTATACAACGTTATTTATTTAAATCTAAATATTAAATATTTAGGTCATAATTATGATTTATATAATTTAAAAATCATTTTTCAATGTATACGTATATACACGTTTTACTGTTATCGTTTTCATTGTCCTCAACTTTAGCAAATATCAATAGAATTAGATTACGTTGTAAGAAACATTGAATGAAAAATGAATTGTTCGATTTTTAGATGGATTATTCGATGGAAGAGACATAAAACGGCGTAGTACCAGTCTCTGGATCCTGGACCTCAGATGCTGAGTCCAAAAATAAAATCTCTGCCGAATTGGTGATCAGAAATAGTACAGTTCGGAACGGATGTCGTTGACAGAGGTTGCTCACATTGGCCCAGCAATGGGCAAGTTATTGGAGCTGATCCATCGACTAACATTCACCCACGTGAATCACAATGATGTTGCAAACATGTTTTTATAGTTATTTTGTTATTCGCTAACAGACGATCTAATTAAAAATATCTAACATTTTGTATATGTATATATATTCAAATAGCAATAAAATGTGTAATATCTATTTAAAGTAATATCTATATCAAATGATTATTATTTTATCATAGAAATTTATTCTCAACTAAATCTAACACTAATAAAATATAGGTATATATGTGTAATATTTATTTAAAATAGAATCTTTGATGATATTTCTATATCTATGATTATTTTATCATAAAACAAAACTTATTTAACAAAACAATTAAATTTATAGATCTACCAATGGTAAAGATCTACCAAATACTCACCGAACAAATCCTCGAAGTAAACGTGGTCGGTGTGTAATCTCAACGATGAAATTAAACAAATGTTCCGTTCAAATAAATTCACACGAAGAAAACTGGGGAAGGAAGAAAAAAAAAACGAAATTCCTATAACGCACTTTTTTTCTTTTACTGATGATACAATTTTTAATCCGATGTTACTCCTCTTCCTTTTGATTTTACAATTTACAGATAATAATGTGATCAATCTATCCTGAGGGAAGAGTGAGTGGGTGGGTGGGTGGSTGGAGGGGGTGCAGCAAAAAAATATAACTTTGTCTTTACACCAAAACTTCGTCGAATAAATTTTTCAAATATAAAAATGATGAAAAAGAACAGAACAAAAAAAATGGGGGTAAAGTAAACTCGTATCGCGACGAATATTATATTAAAAAAAAAAAGAAAAAAAATAGGAAAAAAACCAACCGAAGTGTTTTATATCGTAAGGATAACCGAATCGTCTACCTCTAGTCCGTGACCAAGTTCATGAAGAGACTGTCTTGTTCAACATCCGCGTCATTGGTCCACGGTGGGCGCCGCGACGCTTGCCGGCGCTTTTATATTTAACTTTGGCATCATTCGACGTACGATTTAACAGCAGCACCCGTTCGTTTCCTTTGCTTTACCCCCTTCATCCACACACTCTTTACTTTTTCTTATACATTTCTCTTTTTTTTTCTTTCTTATACACACATATATGTATATGTATATGTATATACATATACATATACTAATACTTTTGTATTTTCTTCGTAACCGCCCTATATTTCTCTTACGCTTTTTAACTTTGATGATGATGACACGTGGCTTAACGTTCTCGTCTTCCTTTCTTTTATAGATCATCGATAATTTTGGTCGTTTCTGGATGAAGAATATAATTCATTGAGAGAAAGGAGAATGTCGTTGATTTAATTGTTAAACATATGATTGATCTTGTTATAATTAATATTAGGATAATTTGATGTCAATTATTGTTCTCTCAAGATATTTTATATGAAACTATATATATATATATATATATGTTTATTTTATAATAGATATTTTACAAACGTATATATCTTATTTTAAGTATTCTAATTATCTCTAATTATTTTTTCTAATAATAAAATTAAAGATAATACTTTGATAAAAAAAAAAAAAACCTTTATAGTAAAGTTTTATCTTTTTCATAGATAGTTTCATATACAAACGTTAAATTAATTTATTAAAATAAAACATATACTTTAAATTGAAAAGTATTGTATATATATATAATAAAAATGTATATTTATGTTATATTAATTTTTTAAATTATAATTATAAATATATATATATATTTGAAAATTTGAAGAATTTTAAATGACTGACAAGTCACTACCACGTTTTCTATTTTTTAAGTGTGCCTTAATTATTTCTAAAAATTCTGGACGATTTAGATGTGTATATGCAATCGAAAACATTTGTAATGCTATTTTTTCAACATACACACTACCACTAGAAAACAAATCATGAGCCAATTCTAAACAAGTTCCAAAATCACATTCGTCAGCAGCTATTGTTGCAAGTCGTACAATCTCGTCGAGTTTACACATTATATCTTTACGTTCCTCTGATGAATCTGCTTTGTCCATTTTCTCCAATATTTGTTTTAATTCTTCTACAATATTAATAATAATAATAATAATAATAATAATAATAATAATAATAATAATAATAATAATAATAATAATAAAATTATACTTTAATTTTTTATTAGATACATATAGAAAAAAAAATATATTATAAGTTTCTTACTGTCTGTCACTGATAATTCTCTATAACCCAACTGCGTTCTTTTATTATATGGAACAACGATTCCAGCTTTATGAAATGTTCTTACAATAACATTTTTCTCACGATTTATCATCTTATTCGTTTTTTTCTCTAATGTTATATCATGCTTTTCAGCAAATACTTTCAATTTTTTTTGAAGTTGTGCTACATTTGGTTTTTCAAATAAATTAGCTGTTTTCCATTTTTCTTCCATGAATACACTGCAATCATACGAATAGTATTTTAAAATTAAATATTTTTGAAATAGATTACTATGTATGTTTCTTTACTATTTACTTAATTGCACCGAATATATTTTCGGCAACAGGTTGTATTGTACAATCTATTTCTGCTTTATTTTTGGCTACGTATATTGGATTTTCATTACATTCATCTCTCCAATATCCAAAATGTAAACCATCTTTATTTCCTCTAATAATTGTCTATAAATAATAATAATAATTATTATTATGATATAAAAATTTATTGCAATGCTAAAAAATTATTTATTACAAATTTTGATTAAGTGTGTATGTATTTAAATATTCATTTCTAATACATACTTGAAATTCTGGTGGATCATAATAATATCTCCAATGTCTAAGATATTTTTCTTTATCATTATTCTTATAACTTGTTAATTTATTATTTAAAATATCATATGGTCCAACAAGATAAAGATTAATAGATTTCAATGCCATTAATGGTTCCTTTTCAGAAATAAGTTTGCAAAATTCGTAAAATTGATAGAAATCATCTGGCATTTCAACTAACAATAAATTTTTAATATTTTCCTTCACACAAGTTGGAGATAATATTGTGCATGTATCATCGTCATTGACGTGATTATTGTTATCTGATGATGCACCAGATTTTTCTTTCATTTCTGTTGTATTATCATCAACTACTTTTTTATCATTTGACGTTGTGATCAATTGTTTGTCATCAGTTTCTACATGATCGATAACATTTTTTGGATTGTCTACAATACTATCATTAAGATCATTCTTAACTTTTCTAATTTTATTTGCTTCAGAATTAGATTCCACTTGTTCCTTATTATTATCATCATCATCATCATCATTGTCATCTATTGCTGTAATTTTTCTTTTATTCCCAATCAATGGTTTACGTTTGACCATATTTTTTTTCTGTTAATAAAATGTATATTTTAAACATTAGAAAAAAAAAAGTATTTCTTTATAATAATTAAAAATTATAAAATAATAATATCACACCTGTTTATTTGAAGGCGGGTGTTTGTACTTATCATGATGTAATTGATTTTTTTGATAACATTTCGCGCCATAACGACAAGGTATTCGTGAATCATTTTTATAAGCAATGAATTCTTCTTCCTTATCTTGATCTGACATTATAATAACGACAAATTTCAAATGAAAATATTGAAAAATAAAAATACTTTATATTATTTATACATTTATCTGATAATTACAAATATTCACTGATAATTTTAAAGGTTAACACTTTTATTTCAATACAACGCAATTTAAACTACAAGTAGTGCACTCTAATGACAATAACTACAACTAAATGATTATAAAGCGACATTATGGCATAGTGTTGAAAATATGAACTACTATTGCATTTGATCATGCAACAATGAATGCACTTTATCTTCTATGCTTTTTTATGTGTTTCATTGTCGAACATAACCTCACACGAACATCAAGCAAAAAGACATTATTATAGCACGGAGCTAGATAACAGGAGGGCGCACGCAATGCTTTAGAAATGTACGAAAATGATGGGACAGATTTTTGCCACTAGAGCGCGTTAGTGTGACTAGGATCAGGTTAGGGATCCTGTAGGACAGGATCCCTAGATCAGGTTTGACTTCAGCGAATATAACGAACCTAGCGGCGAATTTTCGAAAACAATCTTTCCTTTTCTTTCCATTCGTATTTGCTAGTTATTTTCCTATGTCGTGCGCCCTCTTGTTATCTAGGCTCCGTGGTCACCCATATTAATTTATACCTATATATATATATATGATTTAGGACATATGATATATATATATCATAATATATATGTATATATATATATATATATATATATATATATACATTTGTTCTGCTTTATATATAGTGTCCGGTGCAAATCTGCAATTTATGATCCGTTTATAACCTAGGTTTAATCTATGATTATTATTTTAATTAAGTATACTTGTAGAAGTATATGTCAATCAAAATAATATTAACATTTGCACATGAATTTTCATGTATTAACTGTTAAATACAATATTACAAAAAACAATTAAATCATTTTTTATGAAGAGTAATTTTTACAGAATATAACCTAAGTTTAAAATACAATAATAATAAAGTAGTTTCCAGTGGCATGCAGCAATATTATATACTAATAATATAAATAATATATATGTACATATAAATATATACAAGGTAAAAAAAACGATTGCATTTTGAGAACCATGGCAAATACAGGAGTTTTACCTTTTGTTCGAGGAGTTGATTTTAGCTGTAATGATTTTGGTGTAAGTAAATTTATATATATATATATTATAAATTTTTACAATATATTTTTTAATAATAATAATAATACTTTATAGTCTATACATATATATATCATATTAAAATAATTATTTCTTTTTAGGATGGTAAATTTCCTGAATCGGTACGTCTGATGACAGGAATACAATGGTTGAAATTAGATAAAACCAATTTAACTGAAATTCCTGAAGAAATGGGTAAATTATTAAAACTGGTAAATATAATTTTATATATATATAAGGATAAATAATAAATTTAGATAAATAATAATAAACTAAGTGCATGTGTTGTGGCTTTGAATCCATTACTATTTCTATTGTTTTAAACAAATATAATTTAATCATCAATATATGTATATATTTGTTTTATTTGATTATTAACTAAATAATAATAATAATTATTATTATTATTTCTCTTTTTCTTTCTCTCATTTGGAATATGAAATTGTATTTTAATTGATTATTTTGTATTATTTTTATTAGGAACATCTTTCACTTGTTAAAAATAAATTGGAACGTTTATACGGTGAATTGACAGAACTGGGATGTCTTAGAACATTAAACATTCGACACAATAATGTCAAGTCTAGCGGTATACCAGCAGAATTATTTCATTTAGAGGAATTGACAACGTTAGATCTAAGCCATAATAATTTAAAAGAAGTACCTGAAGGTCTAGAAAGAGCACGTTCTTTACTCAATTTAAATCTGAGTTATAATCAGTACGATTTGAATATTATTTATAATATTATATTAATAATATATTTAATTTATATATATATACCATGCTTAATAATTATACAATTTTCTATTTGTAGTATTGAAACAATTCCGAATACGCTTTTTATTCACTTAACAGACCTATTATTTTTGGATCTGAGTAATAATCAATTGGAAACATTACCACCTCAAACCAGACGTTTAGCAAATTTACAGACATTAAATTTAAATCATAATCCTTTAGGACATTTTCAATTGAGGTATGTACAATTGTTCATTTCAATATTATTTATCTTTTAATGTGACGTGTATATATATATATATAATTATTTGTTTATTTTAATTATAGGCAACTTCCATCGTTAATGAATTTAACAACATTGCAAATGCGTGATACTCAACGCACATTAAATAATATTCCATCGAGTCTTGAAACTCTAACGAATTTACAAGAATTAGATTTATCACAAAACAGTTTACCAAGAGTGCCTGATGCTTTGTATTCACTTTCAAATTTACGTAGATTAAATTTAAATGATAATCAAATATCAGAATTATCTACAGCTATTGGTATGTTTAATAAACATATCTATTTATATATATATATGAATTTTACATTAATTATTAATATTTTGATGGTTTTGTTATTTACAGAATTATGGACGAAATTAGAAATATTAAATGTATGTAGAAATAAATTAACTGCCATACCTGCATCCATTTGCAAAATTTCAACTTTAAGAAGATTATATTTAAATGATAATGAAATAGATTTCGAAGGTATTCCTTCTGGAATTGGTAAATTGTCATCTCTTCAAGTATTTTCAGCTGCTAATAATCATTTGGAAATGATACCTGAAGGATTATGCAGGTACAATTAAAATAATTCTATCTAATTTCAATGAGTTATATTTTAAAGATGTAGAATAATATTATATCATTTTTATAGATGTGGCTCGTTAAAAAAATTAATATTAACGTCAAATCGATTAATAACCGTACCAGATGCAATACATCTTCTTACTGATTTGGAACAATTGGATCTAAGAGATAATCCAAATTTAGTAATGCCACCAAAACCAACTGAGGTACAAAGAGGATCGGGAATTGAATTTTATAATATTGATTTTTCTTTGCAACATCAATTAAGACTTGCCGGTGCAAATGTACCTGTACCGGTACAAACAGCTAGTAAGTTTATGTATATATAATACAGTATTTATAATATTATTTTGTAATTATTTTGTTAATTGTTTTATAATGATCTAGATAGTAGCAAAGATCCGATAGCTCGTAAAATGAGATTGAGAAGAAAACGTGATCAAGAAGAGGCTGATCAAGATCAAGCTAAAATATTAAAGGTATAATATGATCAAATAAAATACCCCACGTACACATAAATAAATGTACACAATGTATATCTATAATTATTTTTTGTAGGGTATGAAAGATATTGCAAAAGAGAAAAACAAAGATAAAGAATGTGACGATACTAAAGCTGAGTCATTAAAGTGAGTAAATTGATTATATTAATCTTAAGATATTAATACAAAATATTATTAACAATTGATATTATTGTTAGGCCTAAAAGATGGGATGAAACTTTAGAAAAACCACCTTTGGATTATTCCGAATTTTTTGATGATGATGCAGGACAAATACCAGGTTTATCTATATGGGAAATAGAAAATTTTTTACCTAACGAAATAGAGGAAGTAGCTCATGGTAAATTTTATGAAGGTGATTGTTACATCGTATTAAAAACGAGTATCGATGAAAGCGGATCATTGAATTGGGCAATATACTTCTGGATAGGAGAAAAAGCAACGGTATATGATTAATATTTGATTAATAATGTTTCAATATTTGTGTACACATTATTGAAAATAATTATTTCAAATAGTTGGACAAAAGAGCTTGCGCTGCAATACATGCTGTAAATTTACGCAATTATCTTGGAGCACAGTGTCGTACCATTAGGGAAGAACAGGGTGATGAATCGGATGAGTTTCTTATACTTTTTGATTCTGAAATAACTTATATCGAAGGTGGTCGTACTTCTTCTGGATTTTATACGGTGGAAGATACTGTAAGATACTGTCAATATTATTATACCATACAACTTTACGAATGAAGTTGTTATTAATATCATATTATTTTTCTATTTTATAGCCTGCAGTAACACGTTTATATCGAGTACATGCAGCAGGAGCTTCTATTCATCTAGAACCAGTACCAGTTTGTTTTGAATCTTTAGATCCTTGTTATGTTTTCGTGCTGGACACAGGAAATAAAATATTTATGTGGTATGGGAAAAAAGCCAAAAGTACATTAAAATCCAAAGCTAGATTAATGGCTGAGAAGATCAATAAAAATGAAAGAAAAAACAAAGCTGAAATAATAACAGAAGTTATGAATTTAGAATCAGAAGATTTCTTGTTGCAATTAGGTGTAGAGAATACTGCGGAAACTAAAACTATTATTGTAAGTTATTATTTTCTTTTTATTTTATGAATTATTGTTATTTACAATAATTAAAAGATAAATGATAATATTTCTGTTATTATATCAGGAACATGTAGATCCAGATTTTGTACCAGTGACACCACGTTTGTATCAAGTTCAACTCGGTATGGGATATTTGGAATTACCACAAGTTGAAGTGCCTCATGGAAAATTGGCTAACACTCTTTTAAATAATCGCAATGTTTATATCTTAGATTGTTATCTTGATGTGTATGTTTGGTAAGTATATATATATATATATAACTAATAACAATATATATATATATATCTATAAATTTAAATTAATGAATGTGCAATATAGGTTTGGAAAGAAATCAACTAGATTGGTAAGAGCTGCTGCTGTAAAACTATCTCAAGAATTATTTAATATGATTGAAAGACCAGAATATGCTATGGTTACGAGATTACAAGAAGGCACAGAATCTCAGGTATGAATTTTTATAAATTTTTACTTACTTTATCATTATTAACAATATAAAATGACAAAATTATAATTATTTATTTATATTAGGTCTTTAAATCAAAGTTTACTGGCTGGGATGAAGTTATAGCAGTTGATTTTACAAGAACTGCAGAATCAGTTGCCAAAACTGGTGCTGATCTTACTAAATGGGCCAAACAACAAGAAACAAAGGTAAATAATTCATTTTGATATTATTTTTATCAATATTTCATATAGAATAAACTAAATGAAAATAATATATTAATATTATCTTGAAATAAACAGGCAGATTTAGCTGCACTTTTCATGCCACGACAACCAGCAATGTCAGCTGCTGAAGCACAACAACTTATGACAGAATGGAACGATGATTTAGAAGGAATGGAAGCTCTGGTATTGGAAGGAAGAAAATTTGTACGTTTACCAGAAGAAGAACTCGGTCATTTTTATAGTGGTGACTGTTATGTTTTCTTGTGTCGTTACTGGATGGTAAATGAAATTCTTATATTCCAATTTTATCTTTAATTAAAACTATACAATTTATATAATTTGAAACTATAATTATGTTTTATGACTTTAGCCATCAGACGTAGCAGAAAATGAAGATGGCGATGAGCAATACGAAGATGATTATCAATTTACTGCATATTTTTGGCAAGGTAGAGATGCCGGTAATATGGGCTGGCTCACATTTACGTTTAGGTATTAACACACATTTATTTTATTTATTTTTTTATATAATAAAATAAAAAAACTAAAATTAAATATTTTTTTTTCAGTTTACAAAAGAAATTTAAATCATTGTTTCGTGATAAATTAGAAGTAGTTAGAACGCATCAACAACAAGAGAATTTAAAATTTATGGCATATTTCAAAAGAAAATTTATAATTCACCAAGGCAAACGTAAACAGCCTAAAATTCCTGGTACAAGTAAAGTCGAATTTTATCATTTAAGAAGTAATGGTAGTGCATTATGTACCAGATTAATACAAATACAAGCGGATTCCAGTTTATTAAATCCAGCATTTTGGTAAACAAATGAAATCGTGAAATTGTTAGATTTAATATCTCCAAATGTATAATTATTATTATTTTTTTAGTTACATTCTAAACGTACCATTTAACAACGATGACGAAACTGGTATAGTTTATGCATGGATTGGTTCTAATGCTGACAGTGATGAAGCACGTTTAATTCAAGAAATTGCTGAAGAAATGTTTAACAATGTAAGTTATTACAATATTTCTAATAATAATATCATTTTGACATTTTGAATTTTCAATAGCCTTGGATTAGTTTGCAAGTATTAAATGAAGGTGAAGAACCGGATAATTTCTTTTGGGTTGCACTTGGTGGAAAGAAACCATACGACACTGATGCAGATTTTATGAATTATACAAGACTGTTTAGGTGCTCTAATGAAAAAGGATATTTTACTATTAGCGAAAAATGCACTGACTTTTGCCAAGTAATATAAACGTTTTTATATAATATAATATTCATTTCATTTAACATACTTTTTCAATTCTTCCTTAAATTATTAACTAATTATTTTTAGGATGATTTAGCAGACGATGATATAATGATATTAGATAATGGTGAACAAGTGTTCCTCTGGTTAGGAACACGTTGTTCTGAAGTAGAAATCAAGCTTGCATATAAATCAGCTCAGGTAAAAAAAAAATACCTCAAATAAAATATATATGTCGGCTATTGTGAATGAACTTTATAAGTAATTATTTATTAACTTTGATCGTTGTTTTTTTTTTTTTTTTAGGTGTATATACAACATCTACGCGTTAAACAACCAAACAAACCACGTAAATTATTCCTCACCGCTAAAGGAAAAGAATCACGAAGATTTACTAAATGTTTTCATGCCTGGAGTCATCATAAAAGAACACCTCAATAAAAGAAAAAAAAAAAACAAAAAAATAAATCTACGTGGAAATAAAGACAGGTATTGCTTATTAATTTTTAGCTTAAAAGATGAGTGCAATGTTATATTCTTAATTTATTATATTATAATTGCAACTAAATTCATCGTTTGAATTTAGTCATTGTATCAGCAACATGCAAGTGCCAGAATTGATAATGTGAACTTATTGCTATATTTTCTTTTTTTTTTTTTTTTCTTCTGTACATTCTAATGTGATTTACTACTTTATACTATAAGCTATATAACGTATGAATTTATTTAAAAAAAAAAACAAAAAAAAAACAACAACAACAACATTTACAGTATTCTAATATTATATTAAACATTAGAAAATGATTTGAATATTAACGTTTATGAAGTAGCAATATTTCAAAACCATTTTGTATGCTTGAAAATGTTCACATCAAATTATTTGCTTTAAATCAAAAGTTGCCTTGGTCAGTCTTTTATATTATATAATACATGCATAACTACTTAAAGTCAATTCTGTGATTAAAAATTATTCTTAATAACATTTTCATCGAAATAATTTATATAATAATAATAATATATATATAGATACTAAAAGTTTAAAATTATCATTTTTATCCATATGGTTTGTCAGTACACATGTGAAAACCAAATATAAATATATATATATATTTAAATAATATTATAAAGATTTTATTTTGACAATAATAGATTTATTTTGCATTGCTTTTGCAATTTACAGAGCAACACAAAATTATAAAATTTCATTCATTCCTAAAATATACAATAATACACACACATCAACATATATTTATTTAAACAACAAAATACATATATAAATTAAATTGTGTAAAATACGAGTATATCAAAAAATATTATAAATTTAAATATTTCAATTATTTCTTTCATTTTTTTTTTTTTTTTTTTTATAAATATATATATATACATGTTATATTATAATATAACCAAAGAAAGTAATCTTTTTAGTAAAGAAAATGATGAATAAATGAACTAAATATATCTTTGTTATAATTTAAAAATACACTAAAGTCATTTAAATATTTATCATTTTTATAATTCGATGATTTATCAATTTATTCTGCATTCAAGCACAATATTATAGTATACAGAAAGACAAAGAGAGAAAGAGATCAATATTTATCAAATTTCTTGTATATTACACAAAATATTCCCTGCATTTTCACATAGAATTGTGTATATCAAGCAAAGACTGGAAATAAAAAAAGGCATTTGATATATTCATTATATATATATATAAATATATAAATATACATGTGACATCATGCGTATTAACATGAGTCGATTAAATGCATGGATGTGAATTTTAACATTATGTTGTGATCGGTAGAATATTTAATGTCTTAATTTATTTACAAGCGTACAGAAAAATTTATATATCTATATATAATATGTATATGTATATGTATATGTATATGTATGCGTATGCATTTTGTACAAGTTGTATTATACTAACCTTTATTATTTGTATAAATAAATATTTGTATTAAATTACATAATATACAATTATGACTCCATTAATTTTAAATAAATACTTTTTGTTCTATATCAATGCAAAGCAACTCTGTTTCTTTTTTTTTTTATTTATTTATTTATTTTTTACTTTCTTTTTTAATCAACTCAATATATTAATATTCTCTGAATTTTCTTGAGATTATTTTTGTCTGCAACAGAATACCACAATCAGTGTAATTACTATTATCGTTCATTTGTATGATGTCAATGTACAATTGTCATATTAATTATTAAAAAACAATCAAAGTGATTTTAAATATAGTGATTAAAACTATTTAAAGGTACATACTTAGTAACTAACACTATTATGGTCATTTCAAAACTAAATTCATTTTCTATTTAAATAAAAACTATACAGGGACTAGATAAATACTTGCCAACAACTAATACATCAATTTTTAATCTACTTTTTTTTTAATCATCATCGTCGTCATCATCTGATGGGACGAAGAGATCATTTTCTTCTAGGAAATTAGCCATTTTTTTACTAAGGGAAGCACCTACAACTAATCCTAATAATATTCCTCCTATTACTCTTAAATAACCAAATGGGGTTCGTTTTGGTTCAGGAAGTATAGCACCCGATGGTGTAGTGATTTTTGAACGTATTCCTTTTTTATTCATATACTTAAGTCCACTCAAAATTTGCACTCTCGTCGATGCTATTGAGGTTAACCGTTGTAAAACCATTTTATATTAAAATAATTACTGATTTAAAATATTTCCAGCGTTAAAAGATCAATCAAATTAGTTTGAAGTATTTTGATCGATCAATAGAAATGCTAGATAATAGATACAGTAATCACAAATCACAGAAATTGGAACGAACACTGACAATCCCAAAAATTATCTAGTTTCCAATATGGCTGACATAGTTGTAATGATATGCAATCGTTAGGATATATTAGAACCCCCGAATTTAATTTGTACTAACATAACTAGATGGCGTGGTAATGTTCATGTTACAGCAAACTGACACTAGAGAGCGCTGAAAAGTTAATAAATAATATTTATTAATGACATATCTATGTATAATTATTAAATTTAACATTATAATAATTTATTAATAATAAATTTCTAGTTTTATTATATTATTGTTTATCAAAAGTAAATTATAATAAATCTCTGTAATATTCTTTTTATATTTTATTCTGTTATGTCTTTTTAATATTGATTTTTTACTAATACCACACACGTGAACAAAACACGTGGTCTTGTGGCATTTAAATAAATAAAGAATTTAATTGACACATAAACAAGTAAATAATAACAATGTTGTACATGATCGGTTTAGGGTTAGGTGATGCTAAAGATATTACTGTTAAAGGTCTTGAAATAATAAAAAAATGTAGTCGTGTTTATTTGGAATCCTATACATCAATTCTATCTGTCAATCAAAAAACTTTGGTGAGTATAAATAATATAAAAAATTGATAATAAGATATAACGATTTTACAAACGATTATGAGAAAAGTATTACCTTAAATTTAATAGGAAGATTTTTATGGTTGTTCTTTGATCATCGCAGACCGTGATTTAGTAGAAAGTGATGCAGATTCAATACTATCAAATGTGGAGAACGAAGAAATTGCATTCTTAGTTGTTGGAGACCCATTTGGTGCAACAACCCATACAGATTTGGTATTACGTGCACAAGAGAAAGGTGCTAAGGTAATAACCTTGTTTTGTTTTTTTTTTAGATAAAAATAATAATGAAGGTATATATAATAATTGAAATAATAAATTTCAGGTACAAGTAATTCACAATGCATCAATTTTAAGTGCCATAGGTTGTTGTGGTTTACAATTATATTCATTTGGAGAAACCGTATCTATTCCATATTGGACAGAAACATGGCAACCTGATAGTTTCTATGATAAAATTGCTTCTAACAGAGAAAGAGGATTGCATACGTTGTGTCTGTTAGATATCAAAGTAAAAGAACCTACATTGGAAAGTATTTTAAGTAAAAAGAAAGTATACATGCCACCAAAATTTATGAGCGTTGCTGAAGCATCTGATCAGTTAATTTCCATCTTAGAAAAAAAGAGGAAGGATACCGATAAAAATTTAGGTTTGTACATAAACTATTTCCTTTTTTAATCTTTATGCTGCATACTTTGTTCACCTTTCATTTTTTACCCAATAACTATTTTAATTTAATATTAATTGTATTGACAATATGAATACGCTGTAATATTTCTAATCATGTTCACCTTAACAATTTATAATATAAAATGTATTTATATGTTACAGCTTTTACAGAACACAGTTTAGTTGTTGGATTAGCTAGAATTGGATCGGAAGATCAGAATATAATTTCCTGTTCGTTGCAAGAAATGAAAGAAATCGATCTTGGAAAACCTTTACATTCTTTAATCATTCCAGCTGAGAAACTACATCCTCTTGAAATGAATTTCTTAAGACAATATGCTATTGATAAGATTAAATTTGACGAGTGTGTAGCACACTAAATGTATTATTATTAAAAGTTAATAAAATATTTATATATATATATATATATCATTGTGCATATATATATTTAATTATGAAGAACATTTGTAACCAACACTAACGATCGATTTCGACATTATTTATTTATACTGTAAAAGAATTTCATAAAAATATAATTCACCTTCTGTATCATGTATTTATATAAATATTAATTTATTTGATTTATCAAAGTTTTGCATTTTAACAAGAAAATATAAATATTAATGTACACTGTTTGTTAAACGTGAAACACGATTTCTTAAATATCATATTTTCTTACGATTTATTGATTAATATACTTTATCTGATAATATAATCTTGAACAACAACAAAAATGAAAGAAAGAAAAAGTTTGTACACGACAATTCATAAATATAATATATAAAATATTCGTAAGTTGTTCCATCGTGTCACGTAAGCAAGTAGTTTCTGACTAATCGATGGAATGGCATCGATCGTACCTGCGGTACAGGTGAAATCGGCCAACGGTGGAAGGTGGAAAAAGGTTCAGTCCATCAGGTTGATTCTCGGTTCAAAGACGTTCTTTTCTATTGCTCTTTGACGTTTCGAAGATTTTTCGAAGACGATTCAAGTTACAAATCCAAGATTATGGTATAATAATTATATTTTTTTTTTTTTATCGATAACACAACTATATAATTGTTTTTTACGTTTTAACAGGTATAATATATATATATATATATATTTCAAATATATTTTGATTTATACAAACAATATAGATTATTGTTATATTTTAAAATGTATAAAATATTATACAATATTATTAAATAATATTGTGATCAAACATTTGTACTTTTATATAATATTTTTTCTATTTTTTTTTTTTTTTTAACATTTCAAAGAGACTGAATCAAATTCTTAATTTTATAGTAACGAAATAATTATACCAATAAGAGACGAATTATTTTTTTGTTTTATAAATAATAATATTTAATTATTTATTAAATATTTAATTATGAACGATTATTATCTGTTTTTTTTTTTATTTATTTCATCGATATAAAAGGCACTGTTAAAATAACGTGCATCGATTATTCCGTAGGTCAGGTATATGTGATACATAAGTATGTATATACTTGTCAGGTAACACATATATATATATATATATTTATATATACATTGACGTCGTGACATTCGCGTGATCTTTCATTTTTAATTAATAATTATTGAAGAAACCTAAAACGATGAAACTTTTATGAAACAATTTCGATGCCAACTTTCTTGTATTTGCTATTTTTTTTATTTTTATTAATTTAAATTGCATGCGGCAATAAATATAAAACGTTATTTCTGATTTATATCTACAGGATAGAGGGAAACAAGTAAGAAAGGGAGAGAAAAGAGCAAGTTCTATAAATACCCTAAAAGTGGTCGATGTATACTACTACTACTACTAACTGCGTTAGCTGCTCGTATGCAGGAATTTATTCAAGGTTAGTGTTAGTTTTCTGGGTCATGTACGTGACCTTGAACAACACATTGTACACACATGTTGCGAAATAATTGTTTTTTTTTTTTTTTTTTCTATACACATTCAATAATAAAATTTGTTGTTTGATGTATTATGAAAAAAATAAAAATTATAATTAATTGCAGGTGAAAAGATAATCGAAAGACATTAAATGTAACTCCAGTATATGGAAATCAATAAAAAAAAAAAAAAAAAATGGCAACCTCGACAGAACGTAAAAAGGATCCCTACCAATTGGGATTTGTTTTAGCACCAAGAGTACCTCAGGGTTTGGCAGCCGTTGTTGAAAGTTTAACGAGAGAGGTATTACGAAAACGACCGGAAGACATTTACGTTTTTGCTGCTCGTCATTTTGAAAAATTACTCACTTTGCGTGAACAATACGATGACGTTGATGAAAAATCTAACAAAAAGTATCATCATTTTTCTAATAATAATATTAAAAAACGTAACGATTGCAAATTATCGAGAAAAAGTAAACGAATAATTAAAGATAACGAAGTTAATTGTACAAACAAAGAAGAAGAAGAAGAAAAAAAAGAAAAAAAAAAAGAAGAAGAAGAAGTTTGTTGGTCATTGAATGAAACTGCAAGAGTACTTGAAAGGCATAGAAATATTTTTGGTGACGGTGACAAGAAAATAAGCACCGATGAAATTCGTCAATTGGAAAAACAAGATGAAAATTTACGATCGTATTCAATCGGTACTAAAAGTAAACGTGGAAAAATGAAAATCAATTCTGATCAATCTGATCGTCAAGATGATACGTTAAAAAAACAGATCAAAAATGACAAAGAATCAACATTAACAAAATTAGATCGTAATTCAAAAACGATGAAAATAATTTCACAAATGCCAAATGTATTGATAACACGTAACACTGATAAAAAGGATATCAAAATGGAACTTAGGAAAAATAGATTAAGGGATAAAAGTACGGATTCTTCTAACGAGGGTCAATTTCACGAACGTAACTTGGATAATTCGAGAATAAATTCATCTTCATCGTCATCGTGTAAAGCAACTGAACAACGACGACGACGACGTAGTCGTAACAATAATGAATTAAATGACGAATTAATGAAAAAGAACAAAAAGATTGGCCGTAGTGAAAGTGTTGATAGATATCCGAGTGGTACGAGTAAATCATCGATTAAAAATGAATTATCAAAAGTACGTAACATGAATGAAGTTCAAGAATATCTAACGCGTAATTTTAATACTACACCAAATGAAATCGATACGAGTTACGTTGATCTTGTTCAAAATGTTATCGATCAAAATGTACCAATAATCAAAGACAAAATTGATGAGTTAAAATGTCACGTTTTAACTAATAAATCTAAAAATACTCGTATTAATAATGATACGTTGTTAAAACGTGATATTAGACCAAACACTTCGGAATATCATACGAAATCGTACGAATGTGATAAATATCGTAGTAAAAGAAGTTCGAGCGTTGATTCTATGATGAATTTTAAAAGACAACAGGACGATGATACATTGGAAAATAGATTGATCGATACTCAAAATATTTTACAAGGTATTTCATCAAAATGTTATAACAAATCATCGTCTAATATTTTGGATGAAAATTCAAAGATAATATTGCCAGCGGTTAGACCGGTGTCTTCCAAAAATTCTAAATGTCTTTCACGAAGTGATTCGAATCATTTGATTTTACCACCCATCTCACCGGATACAGGTAAAATTATCAAGAAAAAGGATGAAGTTACGTTACCAACCTTATCAACAAATAATATAACAATTGATAATAATAATGTATCGTTAGTTTCAGAAGATAAAGAAAATAATTATTCTGTTGATAATAAAAATGATGATGATGATGATAGTAATCTTGGAAATGATATATTACAATTATCAACATCTATCAAGGAAGATATTACATCTACAAGAAAAATGTTGGAAAATGTTAACGAAGTATTAAAAAAACCCGTTAATGATTGTCCTATCGATGATAACAAAATGATCGATGAAGAAATGTCTTCCACCAATAATACGAAGGAAAATAATGAGACTAATGATATTGTTGACAACATTAATAATGATAATAACTTCAACGATGTTCTTGGTGAACAAATAGAAGTTGAAGTTGAAGTAGATGTACACGCTGAAGATGAAATATTCCAAGATAGTTTAAATGTTACACCGGATATCATTGATATTCCACCTAGTCCTGATTCTTTAGAACCAATTATAGATAATCCTGATTTGTCAATGATAAACGATGAAACGAAATTAAAAGAAACATTTGTTGAAATTGAAGAAATAGAAAGTAATAACAAAGTTGAAAATGAACATAATGAAGAAATGAAGAGTTCAGAACCAGTGATCGTTGAAGTTGCAGATGATTTGATTAGTATAGAAACTGAAGAACCTGTTAAAGAAGAAATTGTTGAAATAATCAAACTAACTGCAAATTCAGATCAAAAATCCGAATCTGAATTTGATGATAAATCAACTGGACAATTGGAAAATGATAAATCTAAAGATGAAATAAATCATTTGAAAGAAATCGATGAAATTGTTATTGACGATGAAGAAATTAATAACGAACAAGATAATTTATTATCTATTAAAGACAAAAAATTAAAAGGTTGTACATTAAACGTTTCATCGTCAAAAGAAGTTCCATTTTCGTATATCCTTACTGAAGGTTCTCCGGTTGAAATACCTGATTTTGTTACTACGGTAATTATCCCAGAAAGACCACCATCATCACCTGAATCTAATCTTGATATTGAAGAAGAACAAGAAGAAGAACAACAACAACAAGAACAAGAAGAAACTTCACTTCGTGAAGAAAGACGTAAACGTGCAGTAGAAAGTTTTGGTGAATATATAAAACCAGAACAAATAGAATGTTCAACCGTTGACATTGATTTTATACGTGGTATCAAAGCTGGTCACGAAATTGCAATAATTCGACAAGATCTCGATGGTATCAAAGAGGAAGAAGAATCTTCAGAGGAAGATAAGAAACAATTAAAATCAATGAATAACGAAGATCAACAAAATAATGAAGATACGAATAAAGAACCTAATTCATCGTTGTTAGAACACATATCTGAGACTGAAGAAAACGATACTGACGATGATAATGACAAATGTCAGAAGAACAAAATAATACCAATCATGGAAATAGAAATAGAAACAAAGAATAATATCAAAGAAGAATCTAACGATAATGTTAATAATTTAATCGAAAATTCATTGGAAAATGAAGAAAGTACAGAAACAATTGAAGTTACTTCAGAATCGACGAATGAAGTTAAAGAAACAACCATAACCGATAGATCAACTGATAGTTTATCATTGGATCCTGCTAGGCCAATTGTTCCGGAATTAAATTTGGATTCTTTGCGTGATATTACTATATCGTCGTTTAAAATGAACGATGCAGATGAAACCGTATCGTTGACGGAACAAACATTGTCAGGAAAGGATAAAGTTGACTTGGATGAGAATGATGAAAATGGTGACGATGAAAATGATGAAAATGATGACGATGAAAATTTGAATGAAAACGATCAAAAAGAAGATAATATTACACCGATTGAAATGATTTCTATCGATGAAAAACCTATGGAAATTAATGAATCGTTGATTAATTTAAATGACGATGAACTGAACAAAGAAAAAAGTTCTATTATTTCCGAGGAAGGTGAAATTATTAAAAACGAAAATGAATTGTCGCAAGTTTCTAATAAAATTCAATCAACGTTAACTGATACGATTGAACAATGTGATACCATCAATAAAAATGATTGTTCACCGATTGAATATTTACAAAAAATAGAAGAAAAGACCGATTTGGATACCGAGGAAGAAATAGCGAAAGAATTGATAGAAATTGATCGTGCAGAAAATCTTTCTCATTTACAAGATAATTCAATAATTTCGAATGATCTTCCTGACGAGAATAAATCTAATGAAATTTTGATAATAGTTTCAGAAGAAAATATAAAAAGTACGAATGATAAACAAGATGATAATGATTCTTTATTTAAAAATACAATTTCTGATAGATCAATAGAAAATTTGAAAGAAACCATTAGTCCTAAGGATGAAGAAGAAAATATTTCGGAAAAAATGGATTCAACGAGATCTGATGACAATTTAGAAAACAACGTGAAATGTGAGACCTCTTTGACGGCTTTTGAAGAAGTCGAATCAAATGAGATTGATACGAAATTGATTGATGATGAGAAAAAAGAATATCACATTGACGTGACAGATCTTAAACCAATCGAAAGTCAAGAAAAAGAAGACGAAGATGGTGAGGATGAATCTTCAAAAAGTAGCAGTTCAACTTTTCATTCGGCTGCTACCAAAATTCAAGCTGGTTTATATCAATTTTGTTTTTTAATTATTACTTTTTAAAACACTTTTTTTCTACTACTAACACTATTTAATATATTAAACTAATAAATATTATTATTATTATTTTATTTAGGTATTCGTGGTTTCTTAACTCGTAAGAAACTTCAAGAAAATAATCCTCATAGTTCTACGTTGGATAGTATTCCATCTATACAAGAAAGTGTTGCAGTAAGAAACATTATTAATAAACATATTTTTATTATTTCTGAGTTGTATATATTATAATATGTTTTTTATTATTTAGGAAGAACCAGTAATTGACGATTCACAATTGGTATCAAAAGAAGTTGCTGATACTTTGATCAAGTCTGATCTTTCATCGGCAATCAAATCGGAAAATATCACAAAAATTGATGAAAATGAACAAGAAAAACCAGAACAATTGACAGAAACAATTTCAATGACGATAAAACATCGTCAACAATGTCTTCGTCGTGAAGATGCCATACAGAGGAACACCTTGTCAACAGAGAATGCATTTGCATCGTGTGGTGTACAACATACAGGTGAATTTCACGATTGTTTGCCATTACCTGTATTGGAATCTAATGAAATGACGAGAAATAACGTTTTATCTGAAAACAAAGATGACGATGAACCTACAAAACTTACAGAAGAAAAATTAATCGATCAAAATCAAACCGATGAATGTAAGAAAGAAGATAATGCACTTGTTGAATCATCAAACGATTTAACATTGAAATCAAACGAACGTGACGATGATGACGATGATAATAATATTGAAAATATCAATCGAACTTCATCAAGTTTAGAAAATAATTTGAACAATTTATTTGCTGGATTAAATCCAAATGATTTAACCAAATTATTAGTCAATCAAGTAAATAGACAACCAATCATGTTAGGACTCGTTGATATTGTTTCTAATTCTGTAATTGGTACTAATACCAATGTAATATTTCAAACAAATGATAATTTAAATGTTAATGATAATTTAACAGGTTCCGTTAAGGACGATTCCATTTTAAAAAATAGTTATTTAAATTTTATAACAAGCATTGAAGATAATGAATCAAATCACGTTATTAAAGAAACATCGAAAGAATACATGCAAGATCATTCGAATGAACATAGTATGCAAAGTTTACGTGAACCTTTAGCCCTTCCTGGAACACCTGAAGGTATTTTGATCGAGGAATTAAGTAGTTTGGATAGTACTACTATGTCTAAACTTCAAGATGTTTCTTTTAATCCTATCAATTTGGAATCTACAACGATGGATCGTGAATCTATCGAAAAATCAATTGATTCTGATAATTCAATGGAATTGTTAGATAAATCGGATGACGTGGATGTTCAGACACCGATTAAAAAAGATAATGTTAAGATGGAAATGTCAAGTACGAAAGAAGATGATATTCAAAATAAAGAAGAGATGGTTAAAGATAATGCAAATCAATTAATTGTCGATGAGAATATTTGTGATGGGAAAGGGATTGAAGAGTCTACTAAGTCTAATTTTGAGGTAGATGAGGTTGAAAATCATGAAAATAAAATCGAATATTTGGATGATCAAGGTGAAATAAAAGAAGGAAGTTTAAATGACCAAAATAATGAAAATAAAGAAATAAGTTTAGATGAACAAAATAAAAATAAAGAAGCAAGTTCAGATGAAAAAGAAGAAAATAAGGAAACAAGTACAGATGATAAAGATGAAAATAAAGAAGCAAGTTGTGATGAAAAAGATGAAAATACAAAAACAAATTTGAGTGACCAAGATGAAGATAAAAAAACAAATTTGAATGACCAAGATGAAAATAAAGAAACAAGATCAGATGAAAAAGAAGAAAATAAGGAAACAAGTACAGATGATAAAGATGAAAATAAAGAAGCAAGTGCAGATGAAAATAAAGAAGCAAGTGCAGATGAAAATAAAGAATCAAGTGCAGATGAAATTAAAGAATCAAGTGCAGATGAAACTAAAGAAGCAAGTACTGATGAAACTAAA